CACCAGATAATTAATACCAATAACACAAATGACAAAATCTTCCCAGAAAATAAAAGAGAGAGGGAAGTCAGGTCCACGACACAGAAATTATTTGCAGTTAGTTAAGTCACAGCAGTGTAAATAAACCGAAAAAAACAACCATACCTGGGATTGCTGGAAAAGAAATGCTATGAAGCGGACGGTGTTTTGCAATAGAGGAATGTCGACGAAACCAATGTTACTCGCAAGTACGCTGATTGTAGAGGTATATTCCAAGAGGACTCTCCCATGTACATAATTGCTTGCCTTGATGCTCAGTCTTGTATGAATAAAACTGAAGTAATCATTGTTGTTTTAAATGCAGATGTTTTCCTTCCCTGTCGACAAAGGTTAGATAATTTATTGGGAAGCAGGCTTCTACCATGATTTCCAGGGCGAACTTGGGCTGAGAGGGATGCAATGTCCCAGGACAAAAATCGTGATACTCGATTAAAATTCTGCTCCACACGAGATTGGAACTATGGGCTCTTCTGTGTATTAGGGAGGAGCAATTGACTTCTACATCGTAAACACCTGTTTTATCGATATAATTGAGCGAAAAAGATTGATCTCTTGAGTATTAACGAGGTTTAGCTCAAAGAGAACGGTCATTGGACCATACAAGCAGCAATTACCCCACCACCTGGTAACGATTCCAAACCATCTCCATGAATCGATCGGCGTGACCACGTCATCGCATTTTTATTTTGCACAGGAGACGTTTTGATCAGCACCAAATACATGTACTGTTTTCCACTTTCCTGTCTCTGATATGAATATGAAGTATCATCTTCAGAAATGAAATTAGAAACATTCAGTCGCCCCTGTGTCTGGTGACCTCCTTTCCACCCTCAGTACCCTGGAGAGGGGCTTTTTAATGCGCGATGTCTTGGTGTTTTTATTTATTTATTGTTGTTGTTTTTTTCAGTAATAACTTTACGGCACTTGCAACATCAATAGGTTTTTATAAGTATTAGAAATTAAAGATGTAACTAGAGGGCAACATTCAAAGAAATAAAGGGGTGATGAAACCATAGATGTCTGATAGGAAGGAAGGAGAAAACCTCACCAAGCTACTCGCCAACCACCTACGTATTTTTACTCACATCGACACAGTTTAGTCTATTCAGGAAACAGGCTTAGAGCTTGCCTGTCAGAGATGACCCGGGCTTAGATGGTTCCAACGTCCAAAAAAAAAAAAAAAGACCTGAGATACTCGACAAAAGAAATCTCCCTACACGAGAATCTAACTCGGGTCTTCTTCGTGCAACAGAGAAGCTCTTAACCGCTGCTGTAACCCACCGGTCCGTGGTCCGTGACACCATGACTTTTTAGTTAGATGGGAGTGGCCCTACGGAAATGCTGACCAGCCCTAAAGTCTGTTGTGGTGACAACCTGTACCTTGACATTCTACCTAAAAAACAAACGAGCAGTTAGCAATATGTCACAGACAAAGCCGTTTCTAACAACCATCTACTTGTCTTTAGCCCGGCTGTCCAAAAACACCAAAGACCTCAACGCGTTTTGTAGTAAATATATCCGGAACAAAAACTTAAGACACCATGACGTTTACCGGGGAATAGTTTGCTATAGGACACAATAGATCTAGATTTTTGTTTAATGGAGGTGTTTTAAGCTCACTTCAACACTCTCTTGTAACATATCTAATCTTCGGTACTTAAATGACCACATTATGTTGCAAACGCCGCTTTTACTGCTGTTGTTGTTACTGCTGCTGTTCCTATTGGAGTTGATTTCCACCCTCCCGGTCAGTAAGACAAAATCACTTCCATTGAACAGAGTTATTTTTATAGTTCGGCCAATACGATACGAGGCTGACTGTGGTGAGAACTAAGTGAACTAAGAGAGAATAAATACTTCTTATCTTATTATTTTTTGTAAGTCTTACTTTGTCACAAATCCAAACCAACAAGAATGTAAACATGGAATCGGCTTGTGTGAACAAATGTTATAACAGTGTCAAACTAGTTTGTCATATGATTCGGATCAGTAATAATAACTGTAAAACAAGACGTGCAGTTTGATTTGAAGCGTCGAATTGAGAAAGAAGTACGCTTTTTTTTAAAGATTATTTGGCCATTAACACTGGCCAGTGTGGAAACGTGGAGTTATGTTTATGGAGAGAGAGAGAGAGAGAGAGAGGAGGAGGAGGAGGAGGAGGAGGAGGAGGAGGAGGAGGAGGAGGAGGAGGAGGAGGAGAAGGAGGAGGAGAAGGAGGAGGAGGAGGTGGAGGAGGAGAAGGGGAAGGAGGAGGGGAGAGACTCGAGCTTTGTGTGACAGAGTCGAAACGGGAGGACACTGGAATAGCGATCAATTTTACTTCTTTTCTTTACAAAACTATAAATTTTCTACCACTAAAATAGGAAGCAGTTTCGGTGAAGATGCATATCATTGCTATGTAATATGTCCGCTATGCATATGTTTATTATGTAATATGTCCGCTATGCATATGTTTATTATGTAATATGTCCGCTATGCATATGTTTATTATGTAATATGTCCGCTATGCATATGTTTATTATGTAATATGCCCGCTATGCATATGTTTATTATGTAATATGTCCGCTATGCATATGTTTGCTATGTAATATGTCCGCTATGCATATGTTTGCTATGTATATTATGTTTGCTATGTGTGTGCTCGCTATGTGCATGATAGTGACAGACTGCCATAGATGTACACTATAGTACTAGATACAGTACGCCCCTCTCTCGCCTTGCTGCGCGATGGCCACATTTGACAGCGGCGTCCGCCATGTTTTTTGTGGCAAGTTGTGTGAAGGAGTTCATGCTAAAGCAATGGGCAAGGCATGTTTTCTCTCTCTCTCATACGCGACAGGCGAGGCTTGGTTCTTGTTGATTTTTTTTACATGGGCGCCGTGGCGTACTATATCTAAATTACTAAATAGCAATAATACGGCGTTCTTTCTACAACTAGATCTACAAATAAATGTATTATTAGATAGATAGAGATAGAGATGTGGGCTTTAAAAAAAAGAAGGAAAAAAAACAACTGTATTTCTTAATCAGCACTTTATCTACGAGGTGGTTTATTTCTTATTGACCGAATCAAAGCGTATAGGGCCTATAGAACTTTTTTAAAGAAGTATGAAAAGATGTGGGTGTCATGGGAACCTCCCTTAACCACCCCACCCTCTCTCTCCTCCAGAATCCCAATACCAACCACCCCCGGCCCCCCTCAGATATATGAGTTTGGCATTAAATTAAATCAGGATGAGCCACAGGAAAAAAATCCTGAGTTTTTCAGCCTTCAGGTGTAGGAATGCAATGAAGCTCTTGATAAAGTAAATTCAGTCAAACAAATGATGAATACCTGTACTGGTATTTTTAAAATCGAGTTAAACTTTCCCTTGTGACATTTGAACAGGAAACAGTATTTTTCATTCATATGTTCACTTTTTTTAAAAGTATACTAAATTATAAATTGTGTTTTCTTATGTTGGTATTAAACTTTGGTTTATATTGATTTTAAGAACTAAAGTAGACCATATACAGCACTTAACTCATTGGAGTCGCGCTATACTTGGCCTTGCGCGCTTATGAAATCGCATGATTTTGGGGTATGTTCAAATGCACATAGCTCAAAAACCGTATTAGATAAAGCAAATCTGTTTGCAGATTCTGAAAATAAGAGGTTGAAATAGTACAGGCACAAAGAATAGTGAATGAGGAAGAAAAATAAAGTTCTCTCTGAGTGAATTGAAAATCTAGACAAATTGGGGGCAAAACTTTTTTTTTCACACTAAAACATCATCATATATGGTCATATAAATTGACATAAAACATAAATAGAAGGCAAATCAACATATTTATTGTTTTAAAAAAAAACAATATTAGATTGAAACATATGACAATTCTGATGAGAATGACATGAAATGATAGGTGGGGGATGATGATGATGACGATGATGATGATGATGAAAAGATGATGGCTGAAAAAGAAAACAATATTTAGGCATAGTGTTTTTTTGTAGGAAAGATTTCAAAACACGGATGGACACAGAGTGCCTTGTTGCACTTGCTGCATTCAAATTGTGTCACTTTCCTCTTGCTTTTCTGGGTTTTGGCCATAGCCTCCCCCTGATTTTTGTCGCTTAGGACCTATAAAATGTAAACAAACTTCATCGCATAAATGTATGCGGTGCGATCTCAACGGTTCTCAAATCCATCGCACATATGTATGCGATGTGTTTCCAATGAGACTAAAGCTCCTTCTATTGCTGTTTTAAGTAAATCTAATTTTGGACATTAGTAAAACAACTGTGACAACTCTGGACTCACTAAAGATAAAAAAGTGAACTTAAATGTTGTTTTGTAGCCTAGTCAATTGTTTTTCTATTCAGTGTAGTGATAACTGAAACAAAAACCTTTACTAAGGTGTTTTTGGACAACATTCAATAAAACAAAACAATAAAAAAGTACACTGTTTCAGTTTGATAAAGAAATTTCCTGCCCATTGAGAAAAAGATCTAGCTGCTAGTCAACCTTAACTTCACATGGCCCAGAACCTTACTGATGGCTCTTTATGTTTTAAAAAAGAAACCCGGAGTGACTATTTGTGTCTATAAGACATATTATGCACTAAAAATAGATGATGTAATAAAAGAAAACAGACATCACTGAACTGCCTGACAGAACCAGTAAGACGTTAATCCAGAAAGGGACAAGAGGTTTCACATGCTTGCACCTTTAAGAGAATCGCTTTGAATCAAAACATAACGTTAGAATCAAATAAAACACGTAAGACTAAGAGCAGAGACACGCCCACTCACATGTAAACAAACTTTTTAGCCACATTAAAAATAGCCGCCAACAAACTCAAATGTGTCCGTGTCACATAACCTCGTACGGACTCTAGTTTAAAAGGGGGTAACTCTATGCAGACTGTAAATATTATCATCTCTCGACATTGTTTGACTTTTATTTGACTTTGTTCGAATTTCATTTGCAGGTCTTGTGGCTTCTAGCTTTAGGCTGACAGGCCGACGTCATCTGTAAGAAAGTGGCTCGAAAAGAAGAACTCATTTCCAGGAACACGAACAAGTTGATGGAGCCGTTTACGAGGTCGAAGAAGAAACACAGGTAACTTGACACCTAGAGGGATGATACAAAGTAATTTTTGGTTTTCGAAAGTATAAAGAGAGTCTATTTGTGTATGAGTGTGTGTGTGTATGGGGTTTTTTTGGTTGTTGTTTTGTTGTTGTCGTTTGTTTGTTGTTTTTTTTTTGGGGGGGGGGGTCTGGTGGATGTGATTGTGTTTTTGGGTGGGTGATTATTTGAGTGGGTAGTCGGGTGGGCGTGTATTTGTATGTGAGTGTCTGAGAACAAACATATAATATTATATGGTCACATAAACGAGAGAACTTCTTTAGGTCTTTATTCAAGACCTAGAACATCTAACTCTCACTGGAAAAATGGAAAACAAATGAAGCAGGGGGTACACCCAGAGCAACCTATTTAGAGAGCTTAAACAAATGGGTGACGAGGAAAGATCAGGATATCATTATTAGGCTTTTTTAGAGCATCAGAGCACAGAACTGAATTGAGAACCATGATCACCGATGTCTGTTGCAGATCTGGCAAAGTGATGATAATGAAAGTAGTATAGTTTTTTTTATAGTAGAGGGTTTTACGGCGCTCGCAACTGCAGAAGGTCATATGAGCGCCAACAGGTGGGTGTCAACAGAGAAGTCTTTACAGGGAATCAGACTTAGACTGCTCACCTCTCTAGCTTCAACAGCACAAGGTCTGCTTCGACTACCAAGGCACCCCAAAATAGCAGGTCACAAGAGAGTGACAAATACACAAAAGAAGTAGAGGAAAATGACAAAAGTAAGGATCAGGAAAGAAAAAGAAGCAGTTCCCTGTTGTAGATCAGGCACAGTTATGAGCGTGACATGAATCAACCCATTTACAATTCTACTGCGCATGAACGAGAAATGTCCTCCCTTTGGGAATGGCCTACAGACACTTCAGTCAGTGGCACCCCGGGGGGGGGGGGGAATTTATAATGAAAGTGAAAGTAAAAGATAGTGTACATCGAACCTGTCCATAATTTGCACAACGACACACCCTCAGTGACCACCCACCTGAAAGCCGTGTGACCGATGTATACTTGACATTAGCGAGGCGTGTTGACAAAATGAGTTACTGCTAGAAAAACTCAAATGGAGATGTTGCGCTTTGTTTGTTTGTTTGTTTGTTTGTTTGTCTGGGTATAGAGAAGCACAGCGACACAATAATGGTCATTTAGTGCTGGGGGAAAGTAAGACAGACAGACATACATAGACAACAGAGGAAAAGTAAAGAGATAAGACCTTCCAGCGGCGCCCTCCAACCAAGAGCAGAGATGCTGTGCAAGAATTGACACATCAGATTTGTAGATTTTAACTGATGCCATTTTTGCTGCAGACTGATGCTTGTATCTCCCCTTGACACCCACCGGTACAAGTGGAAGAAAAAAATAAAGTAAGTAAGCCATTTTCTCTACTTAAACACGTCTTTTACTATTTCAAGCAAATAATTGTACAAACCCAACCTATACATTTCTTTTTTCTTTTTCTGTCCATATTATAAGGCTGAAATTCAAAAATTTACTCATTTCATCAGCTCATTATCTCACATTTATGGTGAGCCTAAATTCACCAACCACTCGGGTACTGACAACGGGGGGGGGGTGTATGTGTGTGTATGTGTTTGTTTGTGTAAATGTGTGTGTAAGTGAGTGTTTTTGTGTGCTTTTGTGTGTTTGTATATTTATTTTTTTTTGTGTGGGTGGTCACCGGGATGTGTCCTTGAACAAGACACGATGACCCAAGGTAAAAAAATGGGCGCTGCACAATGGGGATCAGCAATAGAATGTTTGCAAAATTGACTAGATTATGGTGACATTGTATATATATCATAATATGTGAGTATGTTTGTGTGGACTTTTTTTTGGGGGGGGGGGGTAAGTGTTTTACGTCTTACAAAAGAAGTAAAACAGCTGCTTAAAGTCGTTTAAGCGCGCGGGACACAATTAACATATTCAGTTGGTTGGAACATTTTGAAATTTGCCCGGGTTGCGGCCGAAGCCTGCTCTTATCAAGATGCGCAACTTGCACACGGAACCTCCGAGATTTTTCACCCTTGTCCGAGAAGACTAGGTGTAGATATTTCCTACAAGAAGATCAGGGGTGAGGCGCGCGCTCATATGACCTTAGCAGTTGCGAGCGCCGTAAAACCCTATACTACATACATAGAGGTGAGGCTGAAAAACAGCAGTAAGAACGCGCCAAGGAGTAGCAGTAGAAAGGCTGCAGAAAGAATCAAGAACACAGAGGAGGGGGCAGCGGAGGTGAGGGCGTGGGGGCAGAAAATGGAAACGAAAGCAGACGACAGAACATTGCAAGAGAGCAGGAAAGGAGTTGAAAGGGGACACTTTTTTAGAAGAAAATTTTCGTCGCTATCCGAATTCGAATCCGGGACCAATTGAATGAGAGGCAAACAACATAACCTCCTTAGGCCACGAGAGCCCCTATTTGTGTGTTTGAAAAGAAAGACAAGGAAAACTGCTTGTTTAAATGATTTTCCTTTAGCGTTAAAAAGACTGGACTCAAACAATGGCATATCTTTTAATTGTCTGCAATGTTGCAATATTTTGTATTTGGTATACTTTAGGTATGCATTTGTGTGTTTAAATGTGCATTTGTGTGCTCATGAATGTACCAGTTTCTGTAGTGTAGTGGCCAGACGCTTCGTAGCCGCATACAGGAGACTTCAGTTCAATTCCCGAGAGGGGAGAAGTTTTTTGTGTAGCTAGGTCTCTCTGCTGAGATGTCGTACCTTCCTCACACTGGGTTAGCCCAGACAGGCAGAGTCGGAAGCCTGCCTCCTAAATGATCCAAAATGTGTCGACAGGGCGTAACAGCCACAACATTTAAAAGAAAAGAAACTAAAACACACACACACACACATACACACACACACACACACACACACACACACACACACACACACACACACACACACACACACACACACACACACAAACGTGTATGTTTCGAGGCAACATGCAACTGGTCCCCCATACGTCACCTGGATAAAGTTGTGGTACTTCCTCAGGAAGTAAAACTCGTAAACAAAGATTTTGACGAAGTAGATGATTATCCGAGGGAACAAACTGATGATGTAGATGGCTATGATGACCAGCAACATCTTGACCACCTGTCTGTCCCGGGAAGAGAGCTGCTGCTTCTCGGCTCCTCCGTCCAGTTCCTGGAGATGAGATGAGATGAAAAGAGATGGGATGAGATCAGATAAAATTAGATGAAGTGAGATGGGATGAGAGGAATACGGTGCGCCTCGACCCTGTGAATCTTGGGCCGGACCGGACAGACTTGAAAATGTCGTCATTCCGACTGTCACTGTCTGCATCAACAACAGTAACTGTTATTTACACTTTTGTTTATAATAAGCTGTAGAAGGCCAAAGCTAAATCAATATTTAAGGTGTTTTTCAAAGTAAGATTTCGAAATACCAAACGAAATATAAGTACGTACGTTTTTGTTTAAAGTAAAACTGGAGTTCCTAAGGAAATATAAACACGCACGTTTTTTGTTCAAAGTAAGACTGTGAGTTTAAGTAAAGATATTGCCCAAAGCATAGTGAAACATTGACGTTTTTGTTTGAAGTAAGACTGTGGAATTCCCAAGCAAACTGGCAATACCTACGTTTTTATTTCGGAAGCTAGAAGCTTGTCTCAAACGTTGTGTGATGACGCCGGTGCAAAACGTGATGACAGCAAAACTCAGACACGGACATATGACTCCGATGAGGTTGTAGTATTGGAACAGAGGACCTTTGTTGGCCAAGGCAAATGTATTGTACTTGTAGATAGCCACCGAGGCGTTGTAGCGAGGATTCCACACATACACAATGTCGTAGATTCCAAACATGACAGAAAAACCGCCAAAAACCACAAGAGAAATCGCGATGCACATGAAGGCGGAGATTTTCCTGGTGAGCAGCCACTTGACGTGGAGGGGGAAACAGACGCAGAGACATCTCTCTACAGCAACGTACGCCGCAAGGGCGCTGGTCACGTAGGTGGAGAAGCTTAGCGAGTAGCTAAAAACAACCTGGGAGATAATCCTCCAGCTCTGAGCTTTTGGCGGGGATATCAGCTCCATGGGACCCACAATTCTCTGCATAGCGCCACCCAAAGATTTGATCAAGTCCCATACGGCGATGGTCGTCATAGAAATGCTGACGCTGTCTTTGAAACCTTGTTTACAGAAAACGGCGATAACTAAGGTATTGGAGACGATACCGATTATGGATACGATGAAGGAAAGGCCCAGGTCGAAAACGTTCTCAATAATCTTTGTGGTGGCTGTGGAGATAAATGTCTCTGAGGGTACAAACACACTCGCCGGAGTGACGAGGATTCCCTTAGTGCGGATTAAAGCTTCTGAAGTAGAAGACATCTTGGAGAGATGAGCGTAAGTAAGAACACGAGATATCCCTGTTGCGTATCTTTCAGAGAATCAAGTGATTTTGGTAGCTCACCTCACCGTCTAAAGCAAAAGCAGAGAGCTGAGGGGAAATAAAAAATAGAAAAATCATAATTATCATGTGAATGAAGGATGCTCAACTTGAAACTGCAGTGACCTACAATGATGGGGGGGGGGGGGGGGGGGGGAACAGACAACCACGACGTTCCCAAAATTATAGTTACAGGCGAAATTGCATTAATACAGCGCATATCCACGCTCTGCAGTATGCTCTTTGCTGCTTTTCTAACATTACTAACCCAGCAAACCCTAGAACACTCAGAAAAATTATCGGCTTCCCGGAAAGCATACAGTGGAAGCTACCGCACTTTTCAAATCATCATACGAGTTCGCATATTTACAACTAGCGTGCATGTTGTTGAATGCTTTGTAAAGTTTGAGATGATTAAAACAAAGTCCAAAAATCTATTCGGTGAATAAAGTTATAATAAGATTGAATAACAAGATAGTTCAATCCTTTCTTTGAACCAATTAAAAAATTGTCCTCGAAGTCCCGTGTGCCCTCTTCAAAAAGCTCCCGCTTTGCAAACAGAGATACCCTACTCGTGAGAAAAAAATTGAAGTGAAATAAACAAGTTGTGCTATTCATATATTCTTCCTCAAAACAAAGACTGCGGCGCCATCTGAAGCAATGCACAGACTTCCGCGGACGCTTTTTTGGCTAAGAGAACTTGGCCTATCTTGTTAGGTAAGATCTTTGGTTAGACCCCAAAACAGCGCGTATGGTTTTTCCAACTTTTATCACACCCAAGTTTTGCTAGCCAGAACGGTGAAAGCTATAATTGTAATGCAGTTATAAATCCCGTACGGTCAACGCGATTGCCGTGATCGGCTTATTTTAGGACGTACATTGTACGGGAGGACGCCATCTTGACACACAGTGTTGGACGCTCAGTGTGCAGGAGCTGTCACGAAGGGGTTAAAGAATTTGTCAAATTACCAGAATGCTCATCCTCAATGAGTTAATAAGAATTTGTTTTAAAAAGCTACAAGTGCAGGCTCCAAGTCTCGTGAGAGTCTATTTCTATTCACTCTTGTAGCTTTGTCTGTAAGTTGTAAAAAAACGACAAAAACATGGAGTATGGATATCATGATCAATACTAACAAAACGAGTTATTCGCTTAGCATAGTCGTTGTTCATAAATTTGGCGGGTTAACGGATAGAGCAGTGCATTCATGATAAAAATGTATTGACGTTAACTCGTGTAGATTGTAAGCCTTTTCATTGTTTGGTCTCACCAATTTTAGCGTATCAAAATAGTAGTTCTACATGTAAACATGCGCTTTTCCGCTTTTGAAAGGCATGTTTCAAACTATAGGCGTGTATTATACTTAGACCCATTCAATTAGTTTATGAAAAGAAAGAAAGTTTGGAAATTTGGTATACATGAGGATACAGATATATCTTATTGAAATACCCCTTCCCCCTCCCAAATGATCCAATTTCTACGAGTACTTGTTCCAAAACGTATTTGAAAATAAAAAAGAAAAATAAAAGGAATCAATGCCATGTTGCTTGAAGTTCAGCGAAGATCGTTAAAAGATAGATCTAGTCATAAACTCCCAGTACGAGAAAATGTGCCAAAAAATCTTATTCCTCATTCGCATTCAGACCAAAGAAGGGGGTTCTCGTTGCGTAGAGGTTAAGGTCTTCGCCTCTCATTCCAAGGTCCCTGGTTGGAATCCGGGTAGTGATGGAAACATTTTCTTCTCTAAAATTGTGTCTTTTCACCTCCTTTCCTGCTATCTTGCTATGTTCTGTCGTCTACTTTCTTCTACCCTTTCTGCCCCAACCCCTTCACCTCCTTTGGCCCCTCCCCAAGGCTCCTGACCCTTTCTGCAGCCTTTCTATTACTACTCCTTGGCTCCTTTTTACTGCTGCCTGTCAGCCATACCCCCTGATCTTCTGGTAGGAAAGTTCTACTCCTAGCCTTCTCGGACAAGAGCGAAAAATCCCGGAGGTCCCGTGTGCAAGTTGCGCACGTTAAAGATTTCTTGTTGGTCTAAAATCGATAAGAGTAGGCTTTGACCGCCACTCAGGCAAAATTCAGAATTTTCTACCAACTGAAAATGTTTAATGTGTCCCGTACGCTCATATGACCTTATACAGTTGCGAGCGCCGTAAAGCACTAGCAACAAAGGGAGATTAGCCAGTGAGGATTCATGATTTCTAAATGTATTCAGAGGAAGTATGGAAAAAAATTACAAATGGAAAGTTCACGCGGGTGCGCGCTTCCGCGCGCGCGTGTGTGTGTGTTTGTGTGTGTGTGTGTGTGTGTGTGTTTGTGTGTGCGTGTGTGCGTGCGTGTGTATGTGTGTGTGTGAGTGTGTGTGTGTGGTTGGCTGTCTGCCTGATTCTCTGTCTGTCTGTATATAAGTTTCACCGTCTGTCTATGTGCAAGTTAGTACTTTTCGTAAATCTTACCCAGCTCTGTTGGCAAAGTGATGCCAGGGAGTACAGTCAAACCTGCTCTAACGGCCACCTGTCCAAACAGCCACTTCCCACTTCCTCCTTGTGGTTTTTCTATAGATCTTATATCATGATGGCACTGTCCTAGACGCTTTTCTTTCCCCTCAACTTGTCTTGAAGAAATTGGAACGAGAGTATAAAAGGCTTATGATTTAGGAATTTTTTACGGCACTTGCAACACAATAAGGTCGTATAAGTGACAGTGTAGAAGAAGACTAGCGTCTATTTAAACACATTAGGTTACACAGAGAAGAAAATCAAAGTGATAATATCTCCGACCAATTATTCCATCTCCCCTTACATTTTCAGAAAGGCAAACAATTTTCTCCTTTTCCGTCCGTCCTAATATTTGTTTTCATGTAATTATTCCTGTCAATTGCAGACTGAAATTTGCTTGCAGGAAATGTCTTAATAAAGTTCTACGTATTTATTATAAAGACAGAAAGAGGAGTGGGGGCACACAGAGAAGGGGATCCCTTAATTGCTTTAATTCTAAAGTAAGTAAGTAAACAGTCATTGCAAGAAGAAATTTCTAACTTAACCAGTGAAATTCAATGTCTTGGGACAACCCACTCTCATAATTGGAGACTAATTCTAGTACATTTTGGTTACGATCATACAATTCTCCATCTTATCCAATTACTGTATGAGTTGTATCTCAGAAATATTGGTACTTAAAAAGCGGTCCCCTTATTAAAAGTTGAAATGAGAGGGAAAAGAATCTCCCCTTAATGATGCAGCCTGAGATAATGAACAGGCTGAAGGATTAGCAAGGGTTTGGAGAAATCTGCATTGCCATCCAATCAGTTGTTAATGAAAGCATTGCAGCAGTGTTCTTCTGAGCTGATCGAAAGTTGTGTAATTCTCTTCCTCCGCTGTGATAAAGCTGTCTATCTTTGCTTCTGGCTGACTTAAACTTAGATCTACAGATTATTATTATTATCGCCCCTGTCGTAAGTTTAATAACTTATTTTTTTTATTATCATAAAGTATAAAGCAGGACGAACGAGCCACACTTGAAAGCTAAGCTTTACTAAACAAACAACCCAAAAAACTGAAAAAATATATCGAACTATTCGTTTCAAGTGGTAGACAGTGACTGACAATAAAACACTTGTGCACTGACACTGGGCATAACACAGCACAGCTCCATGACACACTAAACGACACTCCCAAACACCGTTACAGTCCAGACAATAAATGAACAGAGGCGCAACAAGAGAAATGTCACCACAATAAGCATCATATTTCTTTTTTGTAATGAATCTTGCTTTAAAAGACAGAAGAGAAATGCCTCTTTCACAAGGTAACATAAACGATAAATATTATGCAGTGCTGGAATTGAAATAGTAGTAGTAGTAGTAGTAGTAGTAGTAGTAGTAGTAGTAGTAGTAGTAGTATAGGGTTTTACGGCGCTCGCAACTGCGTAAGGTCATATGAGCGCGCAAAACACAAGTTGTTCACTTTCGCAAAAGTTCATTGCACGATTGGTTAACTTTTAGAGTTTAAAATGCTAAAATATTAAAATTCGGTGTAAATATATTTTCAATTTAAAACAAGTCTTATAAATAACAATTAAAATTTTTAGTAGTACGATTTCACTTTACAATTTGCCATAAAGGCCAATGGCCTTTATATAATTCAATATTCTGCTGGGAACAAATACGGAAAAAATGTCTTGCAATTGTGGCGTCGGTGGCCTAGTGGTTAGGCTCTCGGACTCGCAACCGTAAGGCCGTGGCTTCGAATCCCGTCAAGGGCCCGACGTTGTGTCCTTGGGAAAGGCACTTTACACGAATTTTCCTCACTTCACCCAGGTTTGAATGGGTACCCGGCTATAGACAGCGAAAGATCTTGTCAGTTTGTTAGTGTTTGAGCGCTTAATCGGCTGCTTGCACTGTATGCTTCCCGGGAAGCTGAGAATGTTTCGGAGTGTTCTATGGTCTGCTGGGGTAATAATAATATAGTGTAAAGCGCATAGAGCCTGCTGCTGAGCGGGGATAATGCGCTATACAAATGCTATCTATTATTATTATTATTAATTTCTTGCATTTATAATATTTCCTTCGGATCTCTCCAAAGTCTTCAGGAAGTTGTCAATGGAGGCAGGGAGGTGACCGCGTATGCCGAGTGCATGCAGGTCTCGAAGATTGCCGTACTTCCAGGTTTTGTCGAAGGCTTTTTCTAGGTCAAAAAAGATGGCGATCATGTGGCCTCTTTCAGCGAATGTCTCGCGTATAAAGGTCTCCAGGCGGACCAGGTGATCCAGAGTGGATCGAGTTTTCCTGAATCCGCACTGGAGACCGCTCAGCGAGCCCGTCGTTTCCAGAAACCACATGAGTCGCCTGTGATTTATTTTTTCAATCAGTTTGCAGAGACAGCTCGTTAGTGCTATTGGTGTGTGTGGTCTTTGTTTGGTTTGGGTATTGGAATGACAGTGGCG